TGATAATAGAGTGAGAAATACACCTGAAAATGAACTAATTCGTATATCAGACGAGGAAAAAAATCTTCTTTCGATTGGTGTCATGATCAACCCTCTAAGTTAACATGGGGAGCAACTATCTACAAAAACCCCTTTTCCCAAGTTAATTCCCTATGTTCGTTTTGGGAATATTCACCCGGTATAAATATTCAAGGTTCGGTAGTAAATTAGGTATATCCGAAGGTATACAATATTCTTACCCTTTGTTTGAGCAATCTCACATACCTTTTTGGCATGCAGGGGAACATGGCAATCCGTGTCGCCGGCAGTTGCACCGAAGGGTCTCGCAGCCACACCTGTCCAGAGCACGGGCTGCCTTCCATACTTGTGGCAGCTTGGACCACAGAACCTTCCAGCCTTTGGCTTCAAGAGTCCATCCCCATCCTTCTGGGCTTGTAGAGCTTCTCATCACCTGGTTTGCACATCCCCAGATATGGCCAGCGACATACGCCGCCCTCCTTATGTGCTCCTTCACCTTTTGCTGCGGCGACACGGATTACCATGTTCCCCTGCATGCCAAAAATGTATGGGAGATTGCTCAAACAAAGGGTAAGAATATTGTATACTTTCGATATAATTTACTACCGAACCTTTAATATTTATATGTAAAATTCCCTTTCAGTGGTGATAACGCAATCTCAGAGGTCAGCGATGTACTTGGTGATTCTTCAACGGCTTATACATTTTTTGCCCCATGTTTTAATATATCTTATGTTTTGTCAATGTGTATTTTTATTAAATAAAATAATATAAGTTTATATATTAAAACTTTGGAATATCTTGGGTTTCACCGCGTGCGACGTCTTCAAAAAATGCAGTAGGGAAGCCTAAAACTTTGGAATATCTTGGGTTTCACCGCGTGCGACGTCGCAGTAGGGAAGCATGCAGTTCCGAGTAGGTTATATTTGTTATCATAAATGAATTCCCTGACCCCAAAAACATAAGTCTAGACACCTTACACGACCCGGTGTGCCTTAAAAATATAATTCGATCAAAAGTCTGTCATTTTCTAAAAATGGCGGCTTTTCACGGACTTCCGGTATCCGGATTACATTTCTGGCGCTACCATTGGATTCCTCGGGTTAAAATCATACGGAATCGACACCCAGATCTCGTCTCTAGGCCATATTTAGTTTTTAAAAAAATGTTACAATAAAAATCACCCCCAACCTCTCTAAAATCTACCCACACGGAAAATGTCAAGTGTTCTTCGGGTCAAATCGTTTAAATGGCTCTAAGGAACAAGTGTACCAAGTGGCACCTTGGTATAAAAAAATGCAGTATCTTTCAAGAATTTCCGTTATACCGCTAGTACTATTATCATCATGAGACGCTAGGTACGCTCGGTACCTTTTTGGTGTTTTGCTTATTATAACACAACGGTCCACACAGAGTCAACGTATACACCTTTTGAGTTAGTTTTTGGACGAATTGCGAAATTACCTTCCCTTCGCCTGACGGTAAACTATGGTAAACGAGTGTTTTATGCTATTTTTCTACTGCACTCCTTTTACACCCTTTTATGCTTATTTTAAATAGGAAAATGTCTTATTTGGGAATTTTCATTTTTTGAAGTTGGCATTACTTGTTACAAACAAATTTTGAACTTCAAAATTGAATTTGAAGTAAAAAGTGTTGCAGGGCGAATTGAATAATTTTCCTCTCAAAATGAGCGACGAAGGATTTGAAATCAATCTTACTCCGCCAGAGGTACGAGAATTAGCAAAAAATGCAGAAGTAAATTTATTACCAGATAAATCCCGCAAAGTTTACGAACAGAGGTACTATAAAGTGTTGCAAGACTGGTGCACAGAACAGAAAGTACAAACAATTTCTGAAAATGTTTACGTAACTTACTAGAAATACCAGGATGTTCACGTACCAGCCCTATCCTTGGTAAGGATAACACACAATTTAGTGCAAATCAGGCCAAGGAGATTCGAAGAGAAATTACAGGAGGTAACAATTTCGTCGCAACAAATATTCCAGATGTTAACGTTAGGCCCAAACGCATTGAACAGTTGCCATAAATGTGTATAATAATTGTAGATTTGATAGTAAAAATTAAAATTATGTTTCTTTCACATGTACCGTTAACCTTATTTTGACGTTTGTCATTTTGTAGGTAGGCATTTAGCGCGCGAAAGTGTTTACCTAATGTTATTAATCAGTAAGTACCAATTTCGAAGCGCAAAACAGCCCTACTTCATTTCCATTTAATTTGTTTTATTTCGATACGCGTTTGCGTGTCGAAATAGGTTCATTTCGAACGTAAAGTAGAAAAAAATATTTATTTTTAAATTCAATGTACTTCCTCTGTTCCGTTATCATCATATTAACAAATTCTTGGACATCTCGTGGTATTAAAACTAAAATTTCTTTAGATCCTTTCCAATGGTGTGGATTTTTTTGTAAAATTTGGCCAAGAGTAGTTCTGTTTTGCTTAATAAGCGCACCAGTTCATCTTCTCTTTCTATACTGGATTGTTGTGTCATATCTGTATGTTGTATAAATTGGATGTCTCCTACACGTTTTCTGTTATGGGCCAAGATTAATAAGAAGGTGACTTCTGTAAGAGCAGTATATTCCGCAACGTTGGTATCTGTACTTCCGTTTTTAATAATAGCGGATAAAATAAAATGAATTCAACGTTTGCATTACGCCCTTCCGTATTTGGTAAAAAATGTTTAAATATCTTCTACTACATGATCTCTACACGATATATATATATATATAATATATATATAATATATATATATATACGTTTTGAATATGTTCTGGTGGGACATGAAACATCGAATGATACGTTTCAAACATGTTTTATAAAAACGTTTAATGTCCGCCCTCAGAAACGTTCCACTTCAAACGTTTGTATGGAGCGTTTCTGAAACATTATGAGCACGTCCATCCACTGTTTTGAATATTGTTTTAGGAACTAAGAGCCGTTTACATTACACGAAATTCAGTTCTAAATTATGAACTAAATTTAAGTACAAAGTTTTAGTCAAGTATCATACTGCCAAAAATGTTGAACTAAAATTTTGTGCAAAATTTATACAACTTGTTCTATTTTTCTCCCAAAATCTGCGCGTAAATCGGCGCAGCAGTAGTAGAATGATTGTGTTTATTGTCGTACGGTTTATTTATATATGAATTGCGTATTCCTAACCTAAAACTACTGAAGTAAGTTAACGACCGCATGTGAATTTTTATGAATTTATTATCATATATAATGTCGTGGGTACAAAATTATGTGACGCTTCTTATTGAAGAGTACGAAAAAAATCCCTGTTTATACATAATCAAATCTAAGGACTACAAAAATCGACACATGCGAACAAAAGCTTTAGAATCGATTCTTAGTTTATTAAAACCAATGATGCCAGAGATTACTGTTGCTGAAATTCAAAAGAAATGGAATGCCCTAAAAACTAATTTCATGAATGAGCACAAAAAGGTTTTGGCATCGAAAAGAAGTGGAAGCGGAGACGATGATGTAAGTAACCATTTGTTTTAGTTAGATTGCTATAATTGTTATAATTATCAGGTGTATGTACCAAAGCTATGGTATTATAAGAAATTGTTGTTTATATTAAATGCTGGCACCGAACCTAGACCGTCCGTTGACAGTGTTTTGGAAATCGATACATTAGAACATGATGGTACTCAAGAAAGTTTATATGTAGATGAGGTAATTGCATTTATAAAATTGCATCGGCTAAACTAATTGTATGCGTATATACATTTTAGAACATGGATGAGAGTGAAGCATATTCAGAAACGTATTATTTAGAGGAAACACCTGAAGGCGATACCTTTATGGTTTCTGAAAGAGAAAACCAAGTTTATTGTGGTTCTCAATTGACTCCATCTGCCAGAACACCAGGTTCCATAGAAAAAAAGCCAAGAGGCAAAAGAAATCGCGCTGCACTTGATGACTCCGATAAGAAAATATTACAATCAGCAAGTGACGCTGTTACACAGATTACACAAGCACTAACACAACATTCTACTAACTATGATCAAGGAAAAAATGAGTCGGATAGCTTTGGGGAATACATTGCCAAAAAATTAAAATTGATTAAAAATAAAACTCTCCGAGGTGCAGCTGAGTTAGATGTGATCAAAATTTTAAATTCATACATCAGGACGATTAATATTTTTTATTTAGTTACCTATATACTTGGTTTTTCTTAATGTTAAAAAGACATATTTAATCAAATTGGAGAAACTAGTTTTATTCAAATACAAAAATACATAAGAAAACTGTTTTACATGTTACAATTCTTTATTGCAGCTTCTTGCCATTCCACAATACCGCAAGGGGAATTAAAATATTCAGAGTATTCTTTCCGAACATCTCTAGCAAAATTAGCTGATCTGTTAGCCCGATTAACTGCTTCCAAATTATGCAAAAAATTACTGCTATCATTTTTCCCTTCTGTATATCTACATCCATTTTCTGCACATAGAAAATTGTGGAGTATGACGCATGCTAAAGTAATTTTTTCCACCTTTTCAGCTGTCAAAGGTATAGGATTTAATAAAACCCTAAAGCGGTTCGCTAGGATACCAAAGCTACTCTCTACAATTCTACGAGCTCTACTGAGTCTATAATTGAAAATACGAGACTGATGATCTAAACCCCTCTGGGGATATGGTTTCATTAAATTGGGCATTAGAGGAAAAGCATCGTTTGCAATGAAAACATATGGAATCTTCTTTTGGCGTCCTGGGAGAGCATTTGGTTCAGGAAAATTTAACATATTATGCTTTAAGGCACGGCATAATTTACTTTGCTGAAAAACTCCCCCATCACTGATTCGTCCATTAACTCCCACATTGACATAAATGAATTTATATTTGGCATCGGCTACAGCTAACAGTACAATGCTGTTTGTCCCTTTATAATTGTAGTAGTATGACCCATCTGAAAGTGGTGCTCTAAATGTAATGTGGCGTCCATCCAAAGCACCTAAACATTGTGGAAATTGCCATAATTCTTCAAATTCTTTTGCAACAATTTCCCACTCTCTTACTGTAGATGGAGTCTGCAAAGTTTAATTTCGTCATTTGATTTATGTGTGTTAAATGTCTCACCTTTAGATACAAGGGTTTTAAATGTTTAATAATTGCATCCAATACAAGGGGAATAAATTTGGATATTGTACTTTCATGAATTCGGCTACTGTACATTAATGAGCGGAAACTTTCTCCGGTGGCTAAAAATCTTAATGTAACTTGCAACCTACAGATTATCCAATAATTTTAATAGGAAATACAATTTTGCTACTGACTTGTCTCTAGCAGGTATAGCATCTCGTAAAATAGTATCTTGCGTTTTGATGTCATCATTTATTAATGTAAGTAAATATTCCGTTTGTTTCTCACACAAACGTAAAAAGTTGTTGTATGCACTGGCGTCTTCACTTTTTAGTTCACAATTTAGCAATGACAGAATTCCTTTACCCTCTTCACGCCGACGTAACCAATTTCTACACCACATTTTTCGTACTCTCGTTTTATACGTTGCTTTCTTTTTTATCACAAAGTAAATTGCCATAAGATTAACAATTGCACAACCGAGGAGAGCTGTTTCAATATTTTTATTCTCCATTTTTGTAAGTTTCTAAAAGGCTAGTAGCTACTCACTGCGCAGATTCATTCAAATATTTAAAGAAATTTTTTAAGACAAGTGTCAAACACTATTGTACAAACAATTTGTGCCAAATTTATGTTCTAAATTTTGTGAAGTATGACACTCTCCTAAAACTTTGTGCTTAAATTTAGTTCATAATTTAGATCTGAATTTCGTGTAATGTAAAACGGCTCTAATTGGAACGATTCATAACTTTGAAGAATTATTTATGGAGTGTTTTTGAAACATTTTAAAGAACCCGTTTTTGATCCTACGTGGAAAATCTTGAAAAACCGTTTTGGGAAACTTATTCAAACGTATATTAACCTTCTAAAAACCGTTCTTGTAATGCATTCGAAACACAAAGTGGTTTGTGACACAAACAAGAATTAAATAATTAATTTATTTGTAGTTTATTAAGAACACATAGCTACATAACCCAAAACATAGTATAATATTTATTGTGTGGTGGCCGGGGTAGTAACTTTGCCCTGTTGAACTGGTTCCAGACCGTTCTCTTTCAGGCACGCATAAAAGGAAATGAAAGTGTTTAGGGAGGTTTTCGAGGAAACTTTCTACGAAACGATCTCCCAGCCACCTTCAACAGGAAGAAAATGTAGTGCCACAACCTTCCGACGTCGCTCCTTCCTCCTGGTTCGAGCCCTCTACACCTCGAGAGTCAGGCAGGACGTCGCTGGCAAGGTTACAGCAGAAGAACCTGTTTCAGGCAACGCTACCATGAGGCTCAAGAAAAAAACCAGGAGGTTGGAGGAGGAAGTAGCCAGCAGCACGCCTCAGTGGACGACGTCTGGGGAGAAGAAGTGGGCTTACATAAAAAAAATGTCATCAATTTTTTAAATAAAAAATATTTTGTAAAGAATTACATGTAGCTTTTAGAAAAATAAATGTAAGTGAATAGACGGTTAATTTTTTCCTGCGCGAAAGACTTGTGCGCGGGAAATCGCACGCGAAAGATTGTCCATGTAAAGGCAAAACTGTCGCTAGGGAAAGAACGGAGGAAAACGTGCGGGCTTTCCGCCTCAATTTCACGCGCGCCGATTTGTTCATGTAAATGCAAAACTGTCGCTGGGGAAAGAAGGAAGGATTACGTTGCGGACTTGCGCCGCGCGCCTCGGTTGTTTTGGCTGTGTTGCAGTTTTGTTCTTGTCGGTACAACTGTACTCAACTCAATTGAGTACAGTTGCTCAAATACGTCAATTCAATCCATTCATATTTAAGTAACAAAGTACATGCTGCTTTAATCGCCCAAAACATTTATTTATTTTATTAATCTTCTCAAACCAACAGTACTAATTCCATATTAAGGTTTGAGGACATATATGCAAATATAGCCATATAGGGCCGATCCTAACTCAACTCCATGTAAAATCCCATAAGGTGATTTTCTAGTGTCGTCAAGGTCATATACCTCTCCCCCTGGCGGCGACTTTAAAAACTAGAGCTCTCAAAGGTTAACGATCTTAATTGCGCCTTGTTGTAAACTAAACAAAGGTCAACGATTTACCTCGAGGGAGGGGATGCCTTACGAGGGCGTGGTTAACTTGCGGGAATATAAAGTGATCTGTTAGGGTTGTTAGGCTTAATTAATAGACAGCAAGATGACAAAAACTATTAGAGCAGTCGTGATAAAATCAAAGGGATCGCAAAAGAAGAGACTTGAGGAGTTATTAATAAATTTAAAGAAATTAAAGTGGGATATTGAACTGCTTCAATGCCAACGTAGAATGAAGAAGTTAAATTTAAAATGAGTGATGTGGTGGAAGAAATTTCGTCTATGGAGTTCTCGGGCTGGAAGACCTTCTGTATAGAATTTTTTCATGGAGACTAAGAAGCTATAATTAAATAAGTTTACCAAATAATTACTCGCTAAACAAAAATTTGTTACAATTTTTGTAAACATGCATCCAATAAACTTTGTTTGAATGCACCTAATTTACTTATACTAGTCCAAATCCAAACCACCTACAAAGTGAATAGCAAAAAGATTAAGTAGTTTTATCATGTAGGAGTAAAAGAGTTCCGGTTAAAGTATTTAATGGGAAAGTTATTCATAATAGTTAATGGGTATCATACGTAAAATACATAAAAAAATGGCACATCTTATCTTCGCGAAGAACGTGTTCTCAATCTTCACTTCACCTTTATATTGAGAATATTAAGAGTACACTATTTTTATTATCGAGGTACGTTTCGAAACGTATCCCTAGTAGAAGTAGTATTTGAATATAAGTAATTTTTATAACTTAGGGGAACTTAATTGTTTCAAGAGTGGAGCGCACAATACAAAATGAAGTAGTTTTATCGTCTGGGAGTAAATGTTTTACGGTATTTAATGGGAAAGTTATTCATAATAGTTAATGGGTGGATAATTTTGGAGCCTTTTAGAATTTAGGTGAAGGAAAAAACTGTTCCTACATTCTATGGAATTAAGAAATTTCAATCGAGCGCATTAGTTGTGCATGTCTTTGACCTATTATCATATTATGTACTACGTAAAAATAGACGTTTTATCTCCGCGGAGAACTTATTCTCAATCTTCATTTCACCTTTATATTGAGAATATTAGAGTACCTACATTAAAGTTACATTTTTAAAACGTATCACTCCTACAAGTAGTATTTAAATATAAGTAATTTTAATGAACTTAATGGTACATTTATTCAAAAGAGTGGTACTTTAAGGTAGAGCACAAATGTTAACAATATTTTGTTTAAAACCTAACAAAAATTGCTCCGATACCTAATGTATATTTAGCGGGATTTACTGCGATGCTTTTCGATACAGCGGAAGCGATGATCCTACATTACCAGCGTCGGCTTTTCATGAGAAAATGTTACTACTGCATCTCGTTAATATCCGCGGAGTCTCCCTGAATTAGCAGCACCTATAGTAGGAATGATGGTTGGCGCGGGCGACCGCGGTTTTGCGTGCGCTATTAAGTGTATGCATCGGGTACCGTATTAGAGAATGCATTAACTGCATCCATACAGACCCGCCGTGTCCCCCAGCTAGCCATTCTCCTATACTTAAGCAAGATCGTGGGAGTAAGCGTTATGCAAACTTCTTTTCTATGCGATCACTAATAAATCTACGTATTTATGCACTGCTAAAATCGAACTATTTACGCTCATACTTAAAACGCAAACGAATTATACTTAAATTGCTCGTTTTACCATTCTCGTTGGCAAACGAATTATATCATTATAGGTTGCTCGTTTTATTCCCTTTAAATAAAAAATTAACCGTCTGTTCAACTACATTTATTTCTCTAAAAGCTATACCTGCAAATTACATTATTTTTCTAAAAGCTAATTACCTATTTACACATTTATTTTAAAAAATTAACAAATTTTTCAATATATGCTACTTCTTCCTCCAGACGTCGTTCGTTGAGGCGTGCTGCCGCAACTTCCTCCTCCAACCTCCTGGTTTTCTCTTGCGCCTCGAGATAACGTTGTCTAAATATCGGCGCCTTCTGTTCCAACCAGGCCAGCGACGCCCTGCCTAATTCTCGAGGCGTAGAGGGCTCGAACCAGGAGGGAGCGACGTCTGAAGGTTGTGGCACTCCTGATGTTGAAGGCGGCTGGGAGATTGTTTCATAAGCTTCTTCGAACACTTCCCTCAACACTTTCATATCCTTCTGTGCATGTCTGTAATAAAGAGAATAGGAATATTAGAACATTCTTTTCGCTAAAATTTCAAAGCAACACTTACTGAGGATGCAGACCTGTGGTGGTGGTACTCGTTTGTTGTTTCTCTTCTTCTATCGGCGGTGGCGGGGGTGGTGGGATGATTATATGCTGCAGTATTTGCGCTGTTGCCTCTGGGATACTGAAACAAACACACAAATATTAATGTTAGGTTAATTTTGATTACATTTTTTGCAACTTACTGTAATTGATAACTGGTAGATGTTGAGGGTAATATTGGAGCAGGAGGCGCTGCTGCAGCACTTGCATGATGTTGATAATGACTGCAAATATAAATTAAAAGTATTAGACGTTTTTTCGGTGCACTTTTAAAATAACTTACAGTATGTTATTGACACTGCTTGTTTTTAGGCCGTGCTCCAACGATGCGTCACTGAGCTTTGGTGTGGGTATTACTCTAAAAAAAAAAAGGGAAAAAATTAATTTCATGCTATTTTTTACATCATGAATTATTATTTACCTTTGGGGTGCATATACATGATGGATGTTACCATCCAAGTGGTCCAGCAACTCATCTAGAGTACTGTATGTACTATTGTTCCGTAGATGGGTAGTTGTAGTTCTATAAAAAAAAAATACGGTAATGTTATTATCATGTCTTGAACCTATTGGTAAGACAATTACACAAAAAAATCATATTTACCTCTCAGTTTGACCACCCTCGTCTTCGGTAACCAAATTGATGATGTCTTCCTGTTGTGCTGCAGTTTTGGATAAGTTGCTTTGCAGCATATCCTTTAGTGTGGGTAAATTGTCACTTGTTTTTTTTTGAACACTTTTTGTGGTGGAAAGTTTCACGCGTTTTGATGCCGGCATCGTAGCCATTCGTGAACTGTTTCATGTAAGGCATGGGGATGGGTATATACTCAGAAAATTTTGTTAACGTTAGCATAAACTCTCCCGGGACGTAGACTTTGCCCAGGCAGGTTGACTGTTAAAGGTCTAAACAAAAAAAACTGCAACTTACACCTGCCGATAAGAAAATTCTAAGTAACATTAGGATAAACTCTCACGCTATGTAAACTTTGCTCAGACAGGTTAAAAGTCAAAGAAACCCACACCTGCCGATAAGATTATTCCAAGTAATAGAAGAAAGTAGGTCATGCGCGTGCAACAACCTTTGCTTTGCACTTATAAAAGAGGATCTGTTTCTGTTCCGAGATTTACTTACGTATAGAGTATCTTTCGGATGGTGTCTCGGTTGTTACACCTAGGTGATCTAATCGCACAAGTGTTGGGTAACTGTGCTGCATTTCTAGGATTTACACAGATAAAAATTAAAACCCTTTGATCAGCATAGTAAGTATGGAATCTGTTTCGAGTATCAGCAGTGAGATCGTTAACCTAACTCGACATTCCGCAAAACTCTTAAAAAAGAAATCTGAAATTGTTAAACACATTTCAATCGCTAAAACCAACATCCGAATATTGCAAAGAGCTATTGTTAATCAAATTCATTTGAATAATCCGAATGAAAATTCTTCGAGACTCGAATAATTTGGCTCTCTTGAAAACCTATTTGGCCACGTTACAAGAGCGATTAAAGAATTTTTCCTCGAATAAAAGGGGTTGTGGGATCGATGTCAACAATAAAAATCGATCACGTAAACTAGCGTGGTACACATTAGACTCCTGCTTCAATGGTCGTTTAATTACTGGTGTTATTGCTAATTTTGATTATAAGGATCCCCTAATTTTTATAAATCATGCGTACGATTGTTTTTTACGCAAAATTAAGGTAGCTTTAACACGATCTATGTTAAAAGTAAACGTAATCTTAACTTGTAATTTTATTCATCCTCAAACTGGTATTATAGACTTGAAAACATTCCAGACCAAAAATGCGCCGATTGATGTCGGTACCAATCTTAAGGAATGGTACAGAGAAAACGTTTTCGATAAAATTCAAACAAAGTTAGAAACTTTTTCCGAAAAAAATTCAGGTTGGGCATTATCGGATATCGTAAATCTCAAAATCAATATTAATAGTTACGTACCCATTAGAGGTGGATTTTCAACATACGTTAAAGTTCCTCCTTTCATAGCCTAAAAGAGCAGTTATTAACGTAAAGAATAATGATCAGTTTTGTTTTCTGTGGTCAATAGTCGCCGCTTTGTACCCTGTTGATAAAAATGCTGATAGAGTAAATAATTATCCTCATTTTGATCAAGTATTAAAACGTGGATCGATTAAATTTCCTATTAAACTAACAGATATTAAAATATTTGAGGATTTAAATGACATTTCCATTAACTTATATTGCGTAGATAAAAGAAATATATTTCCTTTTATGTTAAGTAGCAAAGTTGATAATAGAAAAACTGTCAATTTATTGGTGTTGGTTCCTAGCAAAAGCGCGAAAGTTCACAATTCGAGTAACAGCTACTACCATTTTGCATGGATTAAAAATATGTCAGCATTGTTATCTGCACAGCTGTCCCGCCGAGGACATAAAAAATTCTTCTGTAATATTTGCTTGAACCATTTTTTATCTAGTGATTTAGTAAAAAAGCATACGCTTAAATGTCACAAAGTCAATAAGTGTTCCATTCGATTGCCTAATGACTCTGAAAAGATTCTAAAATTTACACATTATTCTAACATGGAGAAAGTACCATTTACTATTTACGCGGACCTCGAGTGTATCTTGGAGAAATGTGATAAAGCCAATCTTCCAGATACCAATACCATACTTTACCAAAAGCATACTCCGTTTAGTATTGCCTTTTACCTTAAGTGTTCGTATGATGAATCACTTTCAAAATTTTTTTCATACCGAGGTCAGGATTGTATTCAATGGTTTATTAAACGCTTGCGTGAGATTGCCGATTGGGCAAATGAAATTGTGAATACTATTGTTCCCATGGAAGTTCTTAATCCTCTTCAGATGCAAAACTATTTGAACGCTATAGTGTGTCACATTTGCGAGAAACCTTTTACGGAAGATCAAATTAAAGTACGCGATCACCATCATATGACGGGGAGGTACAGGGGGGCGGCTCACCAGGCATGTAATTTGAACTTTAACCACTCCCACGTTATACCAGTCGTTTTCCATAACTTAAGCGGATACGATGCCCATTTTTTTATTCGAGAACTCGCTACCGGCTTTCCTGGCGGAATTAAACTCTTACCTTTAAACAAAGAAAAATATATCTCTTTTACGAAGCATGTGCAGAACACTAGCATAGATTTTCGATTTATCGATTCCTTTAGATTTATGAGTAGTAGTATAGATACCCTATCTTCGTATTTAGATAATGAGCAGAAAACTATTACTAGAGCGCATTGTCGTAATGCAAATGAATTCCATTTGTTAACTCGAAAGGGAGTGTTTCCATATGATTACGTTGATTCGTGGGAGAAATTAAATGAGGTGGCGTTACCATCTCGAGATGCATTTTTTAGTCAATTAAAAAATGAAGCTGTGAGCGAAGCGGACTATGAACATGCGAATAACATTTGGAGCACGTTCGAAATTAAAACCTTAGGTCAATATTCTGATCTCTATTTGATGACGGACGTTCTCCTTTTGGCAGATATCTTTGAAAATTTTAGGGATACTTGTTTGCGCACCTATCGCTTAGATCCGTTACATTATTACACCGCCCCGGGTTTGGCATTTGACGCAATGCTTAAAGTCACCGACGTTAAATTAGAGCTTTTAAGTGACATTGATCAAATGATGTTTATTGAAAGTGGTATAAGAGGAGGTGTAGCACAATGTTCAATGAGATACGCGAAGGCCAATAACCCGTACATGAAAGAGAAATATAATCCTAACCTCGAGACGGCTTATTTGATGTATTATGATATTAATAACCTTTATGGTGCCTCAATGTGTGAATTCTTGCCTTGTAGCGATTTTTCCTTTGTAGATGACATTCAAAATTTAGATATTCTAAACCATCCTGATGATTCAGACGTTGGTTATATTGTAGACTGTGATTTAGAGTATCCCTTGGAATGCCACAGATTACATTCTGATTTACCTTTGGCCCCAGAGCATCTAGTGCCAAATAACTCAAAATTAAAGAAACTAATGCTTACCTTGTACCCAAAGCACAACTACGTAGTTCATTATAGAAATTTAAAGATGTACGTACAACATGGATTAAAGTTGATAAAAATAAATAGAGTATTACGGTTTAAGCAATCACCGTGGTTGAAAAAGTATATTGAATTAAACACTCGCATGAGGCAACAAGCGAAAAATATGTTTGAAATAGAATTTTACAAATTAATGATTAATTGCGTCTATGGTAAACTTATGGAGAACGTGCGAAAATACAAAGATGTGAAACTATTAACTAAATGGGAGGGAAGGTATGGAGCCCGTGCGTATATAGCGAAGCCAAACTTTAGCAGTTGTACGATTTTTGATAAGGATATGGTTATAATAGAGATGGATAGGTTAGAGATATTTTTCAATAAACCAATATACGCGGGATTTGCCGTTTTAGATATATCGAAAACGTTTCTCTATGACTTTCATTATAACTACATTCTCAAAAAGTTTAAAGATAAAACAAAACTTCTATATACAGATACCGATAGCCTAATATACTATTTTACAGTTCCCAATATATACGAGAATATAAAAGATGATATACATCGATTTGATACCTCAAATTATGATATCAATAATGAATATGGGATTCCATTAGTCAATAAAAAAATCCCCGGTCTAATGAAAGATGAAAATCATGGGCACATTATGACCGAATTTGTAGGCCTTCGTGCTAAGATGTACGCTTATGAAGTAGAGGGAAAATTGACGAAAAAATCTAAAGGGTCTACATCGACTAGCATCAGAGAAATTACTCTAAATGATTACAAGAATGCTTTGTTTAACGTTCTAATTATAAAACGAAGTCAGCATCTTATTCGTTCGAAAAAACATACAGTATTTACGTTGAAGCAGGAGAAAGTAGTATTGAGTCCTCACGATGACAAACGTGTTATCTGTGCTAATAACATTGATACCCGTCCTTGGGGATTCAAATGTCATTGACAATGTCTCACAGCCCCTTTTTTACATTTCAGAATACATCCGCCACATCATGAACCATGAAAATTTGAAAATTCAGTTGGAGCATGAATTACATTACACTTCTGTTCCAGTTTATAAAAAATTTTTGAAACGAGCTCTTTTGGAAATTCCGTCCGTGCAAAATTATGCTTTAATTAATGAAATTTTACAGAACCTGGTCTTACCGGACGAATGTTTCAGTTGGTGTGCTACTTTTAGAAATATAAGTCCAGGCAGTATTAGATTACTTGTAGATAGGAAGCTTGAACTAGATAAGTTAGTTGAATCTGTTATAAGTTCACCAAAAATTAGTGGCAATCAAATAGTAGATAGCTTACCACTAAATATCAAAATCTATATGACCAATTTACTTAATTCAAAGGCTGTTCATAGAAATATTATTTATGTGATAAACGAAAGTATATGTGAATCTGCACAGTACGCTAATGTCAATGCTCTAGAAATTTTTATCGATATATGTATAGAGAAAAGTATCGAATGCAAATTTAACCCTTATGAAGATACTCGTCATAAACAAATTTACCGATGGATAATGGGAAATATACAAAAAGGAGAAGGTGATTCAAACGCAATTCTTGGCTGGACTTGTGGGCCAGATTCTGCAATCTGGCCATCCACCCAATTAATCGATTATAAGAAGACGTATGAGTTACTTTTAAAAATAATGAGTACAGATGATAGTGCTAGGAAAAAAAAACCTGTAAAAAAATATGTTGTATGGTAAATAAAAGACTAAATGTTTTTATTGACTTTTTTATTTTACAACCAATAAGCTCACAACACTATGTTATTCTTATCAATCCAAGATCTTTCGTCTAATCCCCACCATTTGACATACACTTTATCTTTCTTCCGTCGTAGTACCTTTTCTACCAAGTATACGTCGGAATATTTTGCCTTTTGGAGTTCCTGCTCGTAGAATCCTCCAAGTATAGGTTTCCCGTTCATGTCTTCCAACAAATATGTCACAGGATTGGTTATTTGTACTTTTACAATTTTGAATAGTTCACTGGACCAGTTGGATGTGTAGCCTTTAGCAAATATAGATTTAAACTTACTAATTCGAACTACATCGCCAACATTAAATCGATATCTTTTGTTGAAAAGCTTGATGTGGTTGTAGACATTCAGCTGCGTGTCGACCTTTACTTCGATCGGCTTCATCCCCGTTGTTCGATGTTTACGATTATTGTATTCATTTGTGATCAATTCGATTGCATCAATCCATACATACTTTCCACGGAGACTAAACTGTCTGTATAAATAATTTTTGATGGTTCTAATTGTTCTTTCGGCTATGGCAGCCTTTTTTGTACTGTACGTGGAGTAGTGATTAATGCGTTCTTGCGTCATCAATTTGGCGAATGATTTGTTATAGAATTCCTTCCCAGCATCGGTCTGTAGATTTTGTGGTCTACGCCTGGTAGTTTTGAAAATATCTTGCATGGCTTTTGTTAACTCCTCGCCCGTTTTGGTCTTCAATCCCCTTGTCCACAGATATTTTGAGAAACAATCGATAACTACCAGTATGTATTTGTAACCTTTATTCTGTTTAGCGTAAGGTATGAATTCGGCCAAATCTGCTTGCCAAAGATCATCATACCCTTTAATAACGGTACGTCTACGTGGAAACTTTTTGCGCGCTGCTTTATGTAGCTCATTTACCACCTGCTGCATCCTCTATTAGTTTATGCAATGTTTCTTTGACCGCTTTCAGCTCTTCCTCTAGCACCTCCACGTAATTGCGAAGACCGTCTACAGGTGCTTTCGCAATCTGCATATAATATGTGAAGAATCCCTTATTTATGGCATCGCCGTCGTCTATTGGTTCGCCTACATTCATTAACCGGTTTTCGTTGAGATTTAGTCTTGTTGATAGGTAGTGTTGTAAGGTTAGGGCATCATGCCGTTCAATAGGATCCGCAACATTACTTAGTCTCTTATTTTCCACATTTATCGTATCGTCAGTAATGGAAAATGTTGTCTTTAGCAGTTTTCCAAATTGAGCATGGGTATGCGAACGTCCGAATTTATCCATGGTGAATGTAACCAAAAAGACTGAAAAGGGGTATTTATACTAGTTGACGTAAAAATCGCTGCGTGGGCTTTTGTATGTAACCCTCCTCGTACATCTCTTCCACGATTGATATTATGTCATTTTTTACACCAGTGTTGCCGGCCATTTTTTCACCCCATAAAACCTCTAAATCGCGAATCAATTCATGTACGCTATTCCAGTATTTGTATTCGATCGGTCGATCGACTTCCTTGAATAGAGTAATACCGCTTCCGGATTTCGTACGCCCCCTCTTCGCATCTTCCTCCTCCTTTAATAGAGGCTTTATTATGAGCGTATACTTTTTGCTCTTATTGCCACGAATCTGCTCGGTGGGATCGTAATTGCGCGGTGCGACATGAGT